TGTTAATAAAAAATCAATGAAAAAGAGTGGTGAAATAATCGTCTTGTCTAAGTTACATAAATTAGTTGGTTTCCAGCTTTTACTTTTAATCTCAAGCAGTGATACCTTGTAAGACTGGGACATCTTTGACTTGGCTTCATTTCCATAGAATAAGGGTGTCAGAGTTGACTTAAATTGCTAGAGATAAGAGCTGGTTAGCCCTTAAACTGTGTGTAACCTTCTACGCATTTCAGTGGGGGGGGGGGGGGGCAGAGTTTTGGTGTGCAGTGTAGGAGATGGAATATCTCTGCTATCAGAGTATTGTTCATAGCTTTCCTACACTCCGCATGTAAGTAAATTGTCTTCTCGTGCATATACAGGTGTTCCTTGACTTAGGATGGTTTGACTCAAGATATTTCGAGTTAACCCAGCATGAGGGTGGCAAATTCGTAATTTGTATTAATTCATTTATTTTTCAGTACTGGTATTTCATTAGTTACAGTAATTATTTGTTTATTTACTTATTCAGTGACAGTAGTTATTTATTTACTTATTTAGCATATCATATTCATATTCGATGTAATATATTTTTGACATAGGTTGGGTTCGTCAGAACATAACCCCATTGTATAACATGTATAACAAGTTGTAATGACAGTTCAAATGTTTGGTGGCATTATTGTCTCCCATCCACTAATTATTGAAAGATAGTTGATGAAGATAGGGAAGCTGTGATTTCGTGTATAGGGCAAGGAGGAATAACATCTTGTAGGAGTGAGGAAGAGCCAGTTGTGAGTGTGGGGGAAGTTTGTGAGGCAGTAGGTAAAATGAAAGGGGGTAAGGCAGCCGGGATTGATGGGATAAAGATAGAAATGTTAAAAGCAGGTGGGGATATAGTTTTGAAGTGGTTGGTGCAATTATTTAATAAATGTATGGAAGAGGGTAAGGTACCTAGGGATTGGCAGAGAGCGTGCATAGTTCCTTTGTATAAAGGCAAAGGGAACAAAAGAGAGTGCAAAAATTATAGGAGGATAAGTCTGTTGAGTATACCTGGTAAAGTGTATGGTAGAGTTATTATTGAAAGAATTAAGAGTAAGACTGAGAATAGGATAGCAGATGAACAAGGAGGCTTTAGGAAAGGTAGGGGGTGTGTGGACCAGGTGATTACAGTGAAACATATAAGTGAACATTATTTAGATAAGGCTAAAGAGGTCTTTGTGGCATTTATGGATTTGGAAAAGGCATATGACAGGGTGGATAGGGGGGCAATGTGGCAGATGTTGCAGGTGTATGGTGTAGGAGGTATGTTACTGATAGCAGTGAAGAGTTTTTACGAGGATAGTGAGGCTCAAGTTAGAGTATGTAGGAAAGAGGGAAATTATTTCCCAGTAAAAGTAGGCCTTAGACAAGGATGTGTGATGTCACCATGGTTGTTTAATATATTTATAGATGGGGTTGTAAGAGAAGTAAATGCGAGGGTCTTGGCAAGAGGCGTGGAGTTAAAAGATAAAGAATCACACATAAAGTGGGAGTTGTCACAGTTGCTCTTTGCTGATGACACTGTGCTCTTGGGAGATTCTGAAGAGAAGTTGCAGAGATTGGTGGATGAATTTGGTAGGGTGTGCAAAAGAAGAAAATTAAAAGTAAATACAGGAAAGAGTAAGGTTATGAGGATAACAAAAAGATTAGGTGATGGAAGATTGGATATCAGATTGGAGGGAGAGAGTATGGAGGAGGTGAATGTATTCAGATATTTGGGAGTGGACGTGTCAGCGGATAGGTCTATGAAAGACGAGGTGAATCATGGAATTGATGAGGGGAAAAGGGTGAGTGGTGCACTTAGGAGTCTGTGGAGACAAAGAACTTTGTCCTTGGAGGCAAAGAGGGAAATGTATGAGAGTATAGTTTTACCAACACTCTTACATGGGTGTGAAGCATGGGTGATGAATGTTGCAGCGAGGAGAAGGCTGGAGGCAGTGGAGATGTCATATCTGAGGGCAATGTGTGGTGTGAATATAATGCAGAGAATTCGTAGTTTGGAAGTTAGGAGGAGGTGCGGGATTACCAAAACTGTTGTCCAGAGGGCTGAGGAAGGGTTGTTGAGGTGGTTCGGACATGTAGAGAGAATGGAGCGAAACAGAGTGACTTCAAGAGTGTATCAGTCTGTAGTGGAAGGAAGGCGGGGTAGGGTTGGCCTAGAAAAGGTTGGAGGGAGGGGGTAAAGGAGGTTTTGGTGCAAGGGGCTTGGACTTCCAGCAGGCATGCGTGAGCGTGTTTGATAGGAGTGAATGGAGACAAATGGTTTTTAATACTTGACGTGCTGTTGGAGTGTGAGCAAAGTAACATTTATGAAGGGGTTCAGGGAAACCGGCAGGCCGGACTTGAGTCCTGGAGATGGGAAGTACAGTGCCTGCACTCTGAAGGAGGGGTGTTAATGTTGCAGGTTAAAAACTGTAGTGTAAAGCACCCTTCTGGCAAGACAGTGATGGAGTGAATGATGGTGAAAGTTTTTCTTTTTCGGGCCACCCTGCCTTGGTGGGAATCGGCCAGTGTGATAATAAAAAAAAACTAAGTTATGGATAATATTAAACATGTAATATGTATGTACACAATGTCAGTTTATTAGCATTACTTAATTACCTTTTATCTTTCAGGAAGCTTTAGAAAACTATCGCCATGCAGTTAGACTTAAACCCGATTTCATTGATGGCTATATCAACTTGGCAGCTGCACTTGTTGCTGCAAATGATATGGAACAAGCTGTGCAGGCTTATGTGTCAGCTCTGCAGTATAACCCGGTATGCAAAAATACTTTTGTTTTGACAAAATTTGCATCTTCATCCTTAATGTTGTGAAAAACAGGTAAAGCATGGTTCCTTAAAAAGAATATTCCCCTGTAGAGAAGTTTTTCACAAAGTTTTGATTCTGTTCTAATTTTTTTTTTTTAATAGTATAGGTAGCTTGATATGAATTATGTACAGCTGACCCTCGGTTTTTGTATTTAATCCATTCCTGAGCCATCGGCCAAAACTGAAATCAGCCAAAACCGAAACCATTTTCCCCATAAGAAATAATGTAAATGGAATTAATCCGTTCCAGATACCCGGAAGTATCAAAAAAAAAAAAAAAAAAAATTTTTACCTTAAAGATAGTTGCATGTACAAAAGAATGAACATTACACATAACACTTACCTTTATTGAAGGCTGTTGTTGCTGGAAGGAAGACAGGGAGGAGGGGAGAGGGAAGATAGGTTAGTGTTTGGAATAGGAATCCCCTTCCATAAGGACTCTAGGTACCAAGTCCTTATCTGGGATCACTTCCCTCCTTTGTTTTTTACTGCCACTAGGACCAGCTTGAGAGCCACTGAACCCCTGTCGCACAAAATATCTGTCCAAATAGGTCTGTTTCTGGCGTTTATGATTTGCCTAAAATGGGACATGGCATTGTCATTGTAAAAGTCACCAGCATGGATTGCAACAGTTTTCTCAGGGTGATGTTCCTCCACAAATGAATGTACTTTAGTCCACATTGCACAAATTTCCTTAATCTTTGAAGAAGGCACCTTCTTTCATCTCTCTTCCTCCTCTGAAGCAATTTCCTCAGCTGTGGTCTGATGCTGTTGCAGATGAAGGTCTTGTAGCTCATCAGTGGTTAGTTCTTCGTTGTGGTCCTCCACCAACTCTTCCATGTCCTGGCCACTCACTTCCAACCCCATGCAATTTCCCAATGCCACAGTTGATTGCACAACAGGTGTAGGGTCGACAGGGTCAGCCTCAAACCCTTAATTCCTTCTTTTGGACACAATCTGTCCACAGTTTTCTCCAAGCAGAGTTCATCGTCCTGGAAGTCACTCCCTATGCAGTGGAAGATATTGAAGTGATTCTTCCAGAACACTCTTAGGGTCAATTCAGAGTCTGAGATTATGTCAAAGCACCTTTGAAACATTGCTTTGGTGTACAGTTTTTTGAAGTTTGCAATGATCTGCTGGTCCATGGGCTGGAGGAGAGGAGTGGTGTTAGGAGGCAAAAACTTCATTGTTACAAAACTGAATTCCTTAGATAATTGGTCTAACAAGTCTGGAGGATGAGCAGGAGCATTGTCCATTTACAGGAGGCACTGGATTGGCAATTTCTTATCCAGGAGGTATATTTTCACACTGGGGGCAAACACTTCATTAAACCATTCCAGGAAAATTTGCCTTGTGACCCATGCCCTACCGTTTGCCTTCCACATCACACACAGTTTACTCGACAATACTGTTTTGCTTGAACACACTGGGATTTTCAGAGTGATACACCAGTAAGGCTCCACTTTGAAATCCCCACTAGCATTACCACACAGCAAGAGAGTTAACCTGTCTTTCATAGGCTTGTGTCCTGGGAGTGCCTTTTCCTCCTGCGTAATGTAGGTCCTCTCTGGCATTTTCTTCCAAAACAGGCCTGTTTCGTCACAATTGAACACTTGTTGGGGTTGGAATTTTTCAGCCTCTACATAACATTTGAATTCCCGCACAAATTTTTCAGCTACTTGTTTGTCTGAACTGGCACCTTCGCTGTGCCTTACAGCACTGTGTATGCCACTTCACTTCTTGAATTTTTCAAACCAGCCGTTGCCGGCCTTAAATTCACCTTCAGCAGCACTTGTTTCATGCAGTTTCTTTCAGAGGTCGTCATATAACTGTCTTGCCTTTTCACAAATAATTGACTGCACAACACTATCTCCTGCTAACTCTATCTCTCTGATCCACACCAACAACAATTTCTCCAGTTCTTCAGTGGTTTGAGATCTCTGGTTATCGCATTCACCCCTTTCACAACATCAGCTTCCATGATTTCTTTTTGCCACAATGGAGCTGATTGTTGATGGCGACTTCCCATACATCTTGCCGAGTTCAGCAGTGCGTATGCCATTGTCATATATTCTTAGGATTTCTTTTTTCATTTCTACAGTGTTCCTCACTTTCTTTACCAAAGGACTGGCACTAGGAGCTTTATTTGTGGCCATGCTAGCTTATTTAGCAGTCTCACACAATAAACAAGTGGCAAAAACAATGGATCATTATGAAATGTTTCGTATGACCAGGTAGGATACGTTCAATCACCGAGAAACAACGCTACACTGGCTAAGAATGGTAATCAAAGGTAATCAATGAAAACGGAGCCAAAAAATCAGCGAAAAAAAGTTGGCCAAAACCGAAATTGGCAATAACGGAGATCGACGAAAACAGAGGGTTCACTGTCCCATAATCAGTTGAACAGTAGATGATATAAGAATTTTATTTGTTCTGGTAATATGGTGGAACCTCGGCTTATGAATGCTCTACCATGCGAATTTTTCAGGATACTCATCATTCAGTCAATTTTTTGCTTCTGGATACAAACGAAATTTCAGGATGTGAACTTCCCCCTTGAGGGAGGTTTCTTAAATAAATAAAATGTTTATTTCTGTGCAAAGGTTACAGTGAGTGTTTACACATAATATGATTGAAGCAAAGAAAGCCACTATCATGCCGAGGCATTTCAGGCAGACTTAACCTAATACATGTGCAGGTCTCCCTCAACATTCGTGTTTTCAACTTTAGCGGGCTTCACACATTCGCGAATTCCCAACCGCCAAATTCCCAGCCACCAAATCATATTTAAGTTTACCGCCACGAGTCCTTACTACCCTCCCTCGGACCCCTGCAACTGGCAGCCAGCCCTCCCACCACTGTGTGGTGAGAGTTTTGTTTGTTTATTTGCTATTAAACTACAGTATAAATAATGTAAACCCATCCATGACTGCATATTAGAATGGCTATTCAGACAGGTATTGGAAGGTGACATCATGTGTTTACTCTTGAACACAGCAAAGAATCAAACATTTCTGCTACTGCTAATAATAATAATATTAATATAATAATAATAATAAATACGATAGAATTTTAGAAGGAAATTGTACAAAAATACGAGGGTTGAAGCAGTGGTGGAGGAAGTGGTTGACGCAGCGTCAGTGTGGCTTTGTTTATGCTGGAGTGAGTATTAGTCTCTGTGCTCTTCCAAACATTTCACAATAATTCATTGTATTTGGTGCTTGTAGATTGAGTGGTAGAGGCAGTGATATTTACTAACATATATGTTATAAATAGTAATAGTACATTATGAATAACATTTATTATTATAAATATTAATATTAACATGTACCATTATTATTTATAACATATATGTTAGTAAATACCACTGCCTCACCCGCTGGCTGCTGCCGCCGCCGCTGCCGCCGCTGCCGCCGCCGCCGCCAGTTGTGGGGGTCAGAGGGAGGGTAGTAGGGACTCGCAGTGGTGGAGGCAGTGGTATTTAATAACATACATGTTATTAACCCTTTCAGGGTCCGTCCCGTAGATCAACGGCTTTACGTTCAGGGTCCAAACCGTAGAACTATGTCATGAGCTCGGCTCACTCTGATAAACTGTGAGTGGTAAATTTGGGCCTAGATATGAGAGAATACATCTATGTGGTATGTGTGCACCACATAAAACAAATCCTGCAGCACACTGTGTATAATGAGAAAAAAAAACTGAGACCATGATTTTCGATTAAAACAGCGACTTTGCAGTGTTTTTTCGTATGTTTTTTATAGTTTGTGATTTCTTGGTCTCATTTGATAGAATGGAAGACATATTACAGAAATAGAGATAATTTTGATTGGTGTTAGCACTGGAAATGGCTTGAAATTGAGCTCAAAGTGGCGGAAATGTTAAATTTTTGCCGATGTTCAAGAGTAAACAAACGACCTCACATGTCTAATACACGCCAGCTGGTGGGTCTAATATACATTCACAAATGTGGTGATGATATTTATACAATTATTACAATATTGCATAACAGTAAATCTTCTATTTTTTGGTGTGAATAAAAAATCAAAATGGAATTTATTTGTAAAGCCTCAAAACATAACTAATGAACAGAGGAAATGTTAGTTTAGTGCCAGGAATACCTACATTGTTTATTCTGGACCCTATTTTGAAATTGGAACATTTTGAAGTTTGTGTTAAATTGGCCAAATTACCAATTTCCGGTCACTTTATTTTGTAGTTGAAACAGTTGACTTGGCGATTTCTTGTGCTCAACCGATAGAATAGAAGTAATACTAGTGAAATAGCTGAGAATTTGGTCGACTGGAATAATGTAATTGGCCTAAAATGGGAGTCAAAGTCGGCAAAATCGCCAATTCGTAAATATCGCTGACACATCAAAATTCACGAGAGCATAATTTTGTCAATTTTCCATCAAATTTCGTACTTTTTGTTTTATTACCTTCACAAAAAGATTCTCTACCATTTCATAAGAAAAAATAACAATTTTTTTTTTTTGAAAATTCTTGGACACTGGGGCACCACTTCAGATTTTGGCCTTGGACCCTGAAAGGGTTAAGGCATAACGTATGTATTTAGTACAATTTACGACGTTTTCATGTATTTTATGATTGTTCATGGTTCGACAAGTTAAGGAAGCAGTATTGTGTTATATTTCCCTACAATATATTGGGGCACTACAGTTTTTAAAAACTGTAGTGTAAAGCACCCTTCTGGCAAGACAGTGATGGAGTGAATGATGGTGAAAGTTTTTCTTTTTCGGGCCACCCTGCCTTGGTGGGAATCGGCCGGTGTGATAATAAAAAAAAAAAAAAATATTGGGGCACCAAACATTCGCGATTTTTCAACATTCGCGAGGCTCTTGATCCCCTAACCTTCGTGAATGTTGAGGGAGACCTGTAGTCTACTTAACCCTTTCACTGTTTTGGTCATATATATACGTCTTA